AGATGCCTCGTTTTAATCAGAAATTTATGGACTACAATTACGCCTCATTAAGAAAGCTTTTGGTTGTTCTTTAGAGTTTCTCAAAAACTGGTTTTCCAGAAGACCGGTCTTTGAAGGCCTAGCAGCAGCATTCATGGTGATATTCGGAATCAGCATCGTCGACTACCTATAGTCCACTCGGTTTCGTTGAAAAAGCGATTTATCAGTTCGGGTACTTCCCTCGTAAGTTCTTTTCGTTAGTACAAATCTGCTTCTATCTATGCTACATTCATGATATTAACGCAAACTTTTCTGGACTTCACTGCAGGTTTTCTAGAAAGACCCATACTTTTTTTTAACATAAAATCCGTTTTTCTCAATTAAAAAAGCATTTTTTTTATTAAAACGACCTGAACACCACGAATACTTTGTTTATGTTTAAGTTTGAATAGTTAGTTTTCTACACAAAATAATCAACAACACATTGGTATGTGAATAAATAACATAAAATTAATTACTAATAGTACTTAATGATAATGTCGATGTGATGTTTCTAGATTAACTCATACAGGCACAATTGTATCACTATTTTTCTTGTGCTTTTCTACTATGTTTTTTTACCGATTTAAAAACCTATTTTTCCGTCCGACGTTGAACGATAGTAAATCTACAGCCGAATCAACATCCTCGTCCAGGCGAGTACCAGGCGAAATACGGCCAGAGGAAGAACAACAAAATATGGAAAATGACGGTGGTGAAGAAGTCACATTGATTTGGTTTGACAAATATGTGGACCATTTAGCTGAAGAAGATGTTCAACGAACGAAACAACGGCTGCAAGAAATAAACAATTATTTTCTGTTTTTTACGGAGCAAGATGCATTTCTGGATTATTTAAGAATGAAAGAAACAGAAAAAATACTTGCGGTTGTCGGCGGCTCGTCTATGGACGCTGTTCTTCTTGATCATATGCATTCGTTGTCCCAGGTAGATGCCATATTTTTGTTGTATACTACGAAAGACGACGTCGACGAGTGGAGCGATAAGTATACGAAGTTGATGGGCTGTTACAAAGATCAATCGGAAATGTTGGATGATATTGAAAAAAATGTGAAAATGATGTTGAAACAAACGGCCGCATTTTCATTGTACGATCAAAAGCAAAAGGCTACGAGAGATTTGACAAGTGAATCAGGCTCATTTCTGTTCTTTCAACTGTTCAAAGATGTTCTGCTAAACATGGAAATGACCGATACGGCAAAACAGGAAATGATTACGAAATGTAGCGGCTACTATCGTAACAATCGAAAAGAACTACGGCACATAGAGCTCTTTGCAACGACGTATAAGGCGGTCGAGGCCATTGAATGGTATACAAAAGAATCGTTCGTCTTCCGTTTAGTTAACAAAGCACTTCGTACCGAAGACATCGAAGCACTGTACACGTTTCGATTCTACGTTGTCGATCTTTGCCGACGTTTGTCGTTGAAACACAAAGAGCTGATTGAACGGCAAGAAAACCTGGGCGAACCTATTTTGAAACTCTATCGGGGTTTGCAACTACCAGTGGAAGAAATAAACTCAATGCAGCGCAATGTTGGCAGTCTGATATCACAAAATGGATTTCTGTCGACGAGTAGATCTAGGAAAGTCGCGCAGGATTTCGCTCTTACGCCCACAACGAGGCCGAATGTGCTCCCAGCTCTATTTGAAATAAGTGCAAATGTAAGCCAATTGAAAACAATTGTGCTGGCGGATATTGCGGAATATAGTGCATTCCCGTTCGAAGAAGAAGTATTGTTCGACTTAGGTATGAAATAAACAACGATTCTAAGTCTTCTCACATAATCTCATTGACTTAGGTTTTACCCTCCAATTGCGGAGACAAGATATTTTCACGTTCGGTTAAATTACATAAGTATAAACTGGATGCCAGATATTCACAAAATGTAATCTTTATCAGTAACAAGAGGCGAATTCGGATCGATTGGGCTCTTGTCGCTCAAAAGTGGCCCATCTTGGTTTCTGTTAGTAACCTAGAGATAATTTGGACAGGCCCATCACGTGCTTGGGAGAGTTTAGATTCAACAAGAACTTTTTGATCTTCTTAATCCTTCTAGGACACAAGGCATATCGCGAAAAAACAGAATTGCATAGATTTTCGCAAATAAATATAAGAAGATGTTGTACTACTTCAGGCCTTTTTTTCTTGTTCCCTCAACATCGCCTTATGTGTCAAACTTAGCGGCGAAACACGTCCATGCCTGATAGAAATTCTTTGTGTTTTACTACCCACTGGAAATATCAGATCCAATTCATAGTTCATTTAGAACTTATGAACTGGACTTGAATGCTTGGTAATTTTAGCGAAGTTGTTTTTCATAAATTTTCAGCAAAATTTCGATTTTTTGTAAGCATTTTTCACTGTATTCATTTTTACAACAAGATTTCGAGGTAGCTTTTTTGAGAGTTTTTCAAAATTTCAGAATTTCGTATTGACTACTCTGTACTCAGACTCAGAAACTGATATTCACACAGTACGTATATGCAATGATAAAATTAACTGTACATGATTGTGGAACTAGTACAATTAATTACATCGTTATTCAATTACATTAGCATTAAAAATATTGAAATATATGAAACGATATATAAGGTCGTGACCTTCTGTTATGGCGGGAGGAGGGTTGCATACAAATATCCTAAATATATATCACTGTTTAGACTTTGAGATTTTACTTGATAAGCGGTCTTATATGTATGTCTATATGTATGCGTGGGATTGTAAGATGTTATTCGGCAGACTACTACGAGAAGCGGTCAGATGGTAGCATGAGAGTAACATTTTATCACGCTTTCATTGGGTGGATAGCCCCGCCCACACACATACATACATTGTACATGAATATCAACTTCATATTGAGTAAACTCTAAGGGGGGAAAACCTCACTTTAAGTGCCTTTAGGTGTGTGCACCTTCGCTTTAAGTGTTTAAGTTCTGGAGTGTCACTTAAGTGATTAAGTGTCACTTCAACCTGCGCTTTCTTCCTGGAAAATCAAGAATTCAGCCCTATATGTTCCAGAATATAAAATGTATGGACTGCGGCTATTCCGCATGATACGAGTCTGCTTGTTTTCATCAGTTTAATGAACAAAGTTAGAAAGCATCTACAAGTGTCAGTGAAAACTATTTTTAGACCTATTTCTTACAGTACAGATCAGCCGGTTTGACAACAGCTATTTTTCTTTCTATTTACTGTTGTTATTTTACTATGTACAGATAGGCGATGGATTTATCACAGCCTTTCTCTTTCTCTATTTCTAATCGTTCGTTCAGTTATGTGTACTACTCACTTGAAGTAACGCCATCGAGTAATGTCTCTATCTTATTCTTGCCGCTGTTTTCTTTTTATACGTAACTGTGGTAATTTCACTTGAGAAGAATAGCATAGTTGAAACAAAATCGAACGTTTATAGTTGAACAAGGGCAATTACCAAGGAAGAATATTAGTCACTAGCTGCCGGTCCAATAGCCCTAACACATGCATGGGCATTAAAATGTGTACGAGAAAAAAGATCTCAAACACTTCTAAAGTTCTCTTATAAAGCAACATAAACATTCAATACGACGTAACTTTTGAGCAAAAAGAGAAATCTGTTACTTTTTCTTACTATAAGACGGAAAAATTAGCAATCACTACGGATTTGTCGCCGTTCGCCAATAGACATTCGCCAATAGTTTAGGGGCATTGGCGAAAGGGGTATCAGTATTGGCGAATGTTGATTAGTAGACTATCTTCACAAAAGGCACTAAAAAGAACGGCTGCTACTTTCACAAAAGTTAAGACTCCTTTAGTAAAAGGATTCTGATATTATTTCGAGAAAGAAAACAGAAAGTGCTCATATACACACTTGTGAAAGAGCAGTCGTAACAACAACAACGTAATGTGCAGTGTGAAGAAATTAAGCACAAATCAAAGGTTGTTTAATAAAGGGAGGAGGCGAGAGAAGAAATTAGTCCGCGTGCGAAGTGATAGTCTCTTAGTTTTAAACATTCAATACGGACTATCAAATGAATACTGAGGATAGGTATTGGCGAATGTCGCCAATTATGGGGAATGTTGTGTGAACATTCTTCAGTCGTTTAGAGGTAATGTCTCGGCGACATTCACCAGTTGCCAATATGGCGAATGTCTATTGGCGAAAGTTCAAGTGGCGAAACGCGACTTTATGATCACTACTGCTAAAGTGACTGTCACTTATAAGTGTGTGCATCCATCTGAGAGGTTGTTTCGCCCTTAGTAAACTCCAGAATTCCAGGCTTCAATATACATAGGTACATGTAGTTGTCTTGAAGTGGATACGTTCTGTATCCATATCATGACATCATCCTCCTTAGATATAGCGCCATTACATCTTTAAACGATTGCGGAGACCGACATGAATCACCTTAGCCATCAAAACATTTTTTGAAATGATCGATTGTACTCGTCCTTGTGCTATCAGATTAAAGGACAATTACCTTAGTTGACAAAAGACGCAATCCAAGACGATCGCAGGTCGAAAAGAATACCTCGAAGGTTCACCCACCTTGAGCGATGACTGGACGCTTCTGTCGATATATCTTAAGGTTACGTTGTTTCACCAGCAAATGTCACAATTTGCCATTGTTAAAATCCTTTTTCATTTCGCTCTAGGCTCGGCATATAAAATCGACAGTGTCACTTTTGACGAAGAGACTCAACTGTGGATGATTCGAACATCGGCATCGGACGAAGGTGCCGAACTGGCTCGAGAATACATTGAATATCAGAAGAAGAAAGTGTCGATATC